AGCCTTTTTTGGTTGTTTATCTTTTCAACCTTATTATTAATTAACGGATTTAATATTAGTGTATCACTTTTGTTGGGTGCTCCAACTTACAATTCTTTGGGTATGTCACTACAAAATTAGCATAACGAGTTAGTTAGCTTAGAGATACTTACGTATATGCATGAATGGAAGCTTGCTGCCTTTACATTTTGTCAGGTGGTAGACCTGGTTATCTGCTATGATTATGTTTCTCTTAGAATAAATGTACTCTATGATGGTTCTGACGCCTCGTTGTCCGCAGTAATTCCGAGGAAGGTCTTTGAGGTTATACGATCCATAGAGCTAAGGGATGCTGTGATGCGAAAAGTGAGTGGACAGTCGTGGATGTAATGTGAGAAGTCTGCTGAAGAATCTGAGGCACCGCAGGCGCATTTGACGTTTTGATGGTAGAACCTGTTGAAGTAGGCGGGAAATCTTCCGTGACTTGTTAAAGCTTGTTGCAGATAGAAGTCTGTTTTGAGCCTCTTGGTAGAGACCATAGGAAAGTTGGAATAGGTGTGTCGACCGGTGTCTGAGTCGACCCAGCGAGCTTGCCAGATGGACATTAGGGCACAGAAAATCTTGTGTTTGGCAGCGACTATGGAGAGTGGAATCTCTGAGTCGATGGAAGGGTGGCTTGTGGCTTTTTTAGCTAAAACGAGTCGGCCCTTTCGACTCTTTAGCTAAAAAAGCCAGAAGCCACCCTTCCACAAGCCTTCGGTATGTGGTACCTTAATGACTACGTACTCAGCATAGAGAGATTTGTAGAAGAAGACAGGGTAATAAGCACTTCTTTTAATGAGAAGATGTTTAAAGCTTGTGTGCCGTTCTTGTTCAATGCCTGTAGGACGCTTGTGCTGTCCGTGTAGAAGCTGATGTATGGAAAGTTGGTGTTGCCGGTCCAGAAAGCTGCCTTCTTTAAAGCGAAGGACTCAGCCTGGAAAACTGAGGCTTGGTTGCAAGGTTTGAATGGTTCTGAGTGAATTTCTAAATTGTTGTCGAACGCGACATAGGCTGCACTTACTTCCCCTGAAACTTTGGAGCCATCAGAAAAGATTTCTAAGTTCTGTACTTTTGGTAGATCTTTAAGCCATTTTAGATCTATCGTGAGATCTGGGTGGACGGAAGTATAGTAGCATTGTGGTTCTAAGTAGCGCTGGTCTATGCACTAGGAGTCATCGAAAACTGTTATGTTATAGTACTAACTAGAATATATATATATATATATATTATTATTATTATTATATAAGGTATTTCTCCCGCCTTCTGAGCGTGCCTTCATTGTGTAATGGCCAGCACACACAGCGCGTATACGAGAGGTCCGAGGTTCGAGAGTGCCGGCGAGGGCGTTGCTCATTTTACAAGCTTCCTGCTTCGAAATAATCCTAATGACTCTAAACGGCGCCGGAATAAAAACAAAAGGTGGTGGATGATAATTCTCTACCGTCAGGATATGGCGATTGGGTACCGTAATCCCCAGTCGCTCTTTAAAGGGGAAATGCTATATAAGGTATTTCTCCCGCCTTTTTAGCATGCTTTCGGGGTGTAATGGCACTTAGCGTGTATTCGAGAGGTCCGAGATTCGAGTTCCAGCGAGTTCTCAATCTTCAAACTAATCCTAATGACTCTACAATTACACTTATATGTTTGCTTCCACAGAATATAAAACTTTGTAAAATCTTTCTTTATTCCAAAAATTGCAAGAATAGCAAACATTTTAGCTTTCAAAATGGCTCAATTAAGATTTTTGCTACAATGAAACATTTAGCTGTTATTTTGTTTTGTTTTTCTCCTCTAGAGGAAACGGAGAGTTAAAAGGAATTAATGCTGATTGCATCAGGTTTGCTTAGAGTTAAATTTAATTTTAACGTGTATTTGTTTTATATTTTGTTCATTTCCTTGGTAATAAAATTATTAAAACTCATTTTAACCCCATCTGACAGTTTATGTTGAATCGATTATTTTTAATAATTCATCTTTCAAAACTGACTTTAAATAATTTATACAGAGATAATTTTATAACTCTCAGACTTTTAATGATCAAACTACCTTTTGAAATCTTTTTTTATTTATTATTGAATAAAATTTGAAGTGATCAAATTTAAACAAATTTGAAGCTCGGATGTTTTATTCAATTATGGCCTTTAAGTTTGTAAGAGTTAATTGCTTTAAAGAGGATGCCTTCATGGAAATCTTAGTAAGGGAAATTATGTTACATATGAGGATCAACATTAAAATTCTTATGCCACCGCCAGCCCGTTGGTAAACGAGCTGGCTCGGGCAGGACCAATCCCCGAGCAAACTGTTAGTTACGGAAGATAAACTAAAATTGATAACTGTTGCTATAGAAAATTTAAAACAAAAACTTGTATAAAATGAGATATTTTTTCCTTTCATATAGTCTAACCTTTCCTTGCCAAAAGACGCCTTTCAACAAAAATCGGCGCAACTGTAATCAACAGATTAAAATATTGACTTTTGATCATCAGTTGATACCATTAAATTTTTTAAATTTCTTTACTAAGTTTCGTTCCAAGCAATATTACTTTTGTCGATAATACATTGGTTTTGATCTTCACGTTCATTCCAGCAAATTATGGAAGCGTGTCCCTTGTGTGAGGTACTCTGTTTCATCTCATAAAATATCTTAAGCTGTTTGTTTAGTATACTGAAACATGGCTTGCGTCAAACAATGTCATAGTGCTACTAGTCTTGAGTGGCCTGTACTGAAAATTAATTGATTGAGAGTATGAAAGAAAAATTAACTCTAAGAGGACAATGATGATTTTTGAAATAATGATAAATGATATAAGTGCTCGAAATCTATAAGTTTAGTGTGAAAATACCTATACAATGGGAGATTCTTGACATCCTAACTTTAATAATTAATGCATGATGTATTCGTTTAGAGTACGAGATCCGAAGTTTATCAAGACAAGATCTTACGAGTCACAGACCAAAACATGAATCCTCATTAAATTGCACCAATTTGTTTCTCTGTTTACATTCTGTTGCTGCCAATGCAGATAATCTTGCTTTGTTCAAATGTGCTCTGTAAAAAGAATTTTAAATCAAATTATATGTGATCGTGTGATACTGACGTCACATATAAATATAAAATGATATGTCTGAAATGGGTTAACGTTTTGTTCCCATACTTTAGTCGTCAAGCAAGTAAGATAATTTGTGAGTCTAACTGTAAGTGTTGCTAATAAATAGTCAGAAAAAAAAATCATATTTTTATGTATTAATAATTATTTGTTTTAAATGAATCAATCAATTCCTTTTTAAAAACAGACTTTTGTTTTTGTGTTAATTTTATTATTTTTTCCGTTTTTATTTGGGTTTGCGAGAAAGGAAGTAAGTTTATTTTGAAAGCATAAAATTTTTTTTGTAAATAATTATATTCTGTTCATAAATCTGTAAATTTTGTTAAAATTCTACTTCAGTATAAATATAAGAGAGATCTGCAGATAAGACAAACCTCAAATTTTCAAGCTTAAAAAATGTTTTCCATAATTATTAATATATTTTTTTAATTTTAAGAAATATTATTTCTATAATGCAGCCTAACTATGTGAATCTGATGTTAATAATTTTAGTAGAAAAATAGTAAATTATTTAAAACATATAAAATATAATAAAAGTGTGCCTATCGAGTATCAATTTTTTACTGAATCTTTTGCAACATTTATTTGTTTGATTTCATCTTCATATGCTCAAATTAAATTAAATAATAGTATAAAAAATACTTTTTGCATCCATTACTTGATTAAAGATTGTTAATTAAAACAAAATGTATTTCGTTTTTAACCGGTGCATTAAATCTGTTTGCCTGCAACTTCAATTTAATTTATTTTTATTTGTATCACGTCTATCTACATTATATATAAATGCAGATACGACAGATTCTAAATACTGCAGATTTATGGCAACATTTTTTTGGAAAGTTTTTTAGACTTATGTACAATTTCGTTAATTATTTGTATGTTGAATGGATTTCTTTAGTAATCATTTAAAATAGGAGTTATTGTTTTCGTTGCGCAGTCTTATACCACCGAAATAAAATTTGTTTCCACTTAACTTGACGGAAATGTTTGCTGAGATAATTTTTCGCAAACGATCCAGGGAAAAATGCATAGCTATGTCTTAAATAATAATGTCTTCTCATTATTAAATAAGTGTGTAAAATCTTTATTAATAATGTTATAAGGTATTTCTCCCGCCTTCTTAGCGTGCCTTCGTGGTGTAGTGGTCTGGGCGTGTATTCCAGATGTCCGTGGTTGAACTCCCGGCGAAGGCGTTGCTCATTTTTCATGACTCCTGCTTCAAAAAAAAAAAAAAAAAAAAATACTTAATGTCTACAATGTTACCACGTTAGTTTGTAATGAAATACATAACAGCAGCTATTTTTCTACTGTTTTGATTGCTTTTAACATCTTGTTTTAAATATGTGTACCTTATGTTCATTTTTGGAAATCGATTCTCAAACTAGAGCTATATCATAACTATTTAACTAAAACTGTTTTCATTGTTAAGTTGGAATCAGAATTAAAGTCAGATTACAACTTTTTCTAAAACAACTTTTATGTAGTGTTACTGTAAATTATTATTAATCTGTAGTAAAAAAAGATAAATTATATTCTTTGCATTTGGAACTACAATCTCTTTGATACTTCTTAGCTTTATCAATACATTATTAATAATATATTCCTTATTTCTTGATTTATGTGTGAACTGTAGATGAGTATGTTATATTGTATTATTGAAATGTTTATTTTTTTTTCGTTTGTAATTACTCAGGAACTGAAAAATATTCCACTGTTATGTTTCTTTGAGTAATTAAATCACATGTTCATTAATGTGTGTATGTATACATATTGCATAGTTACCTGAAAGAATTATGTAAAATTTACTGTGAAGAAATTCAACATTGTAAATCATTGTACTTTGTAAAATAAATAATTGAGACACAGACTATATCATTAATGACATCCCACTGTTTATTGTGACACGGCCGTAAAGCATTCTACAATAAGCCATGTGTAAAAACCTAGACCATCTGAAACTGATATATACCAAAAATAGACCTGCACTCACATATATATAAAACAACATCTAACTCTAGCCAGGTCCTTTAACGTAGGAATAGTTAGTCTGCTTTAGTTATAGTAGTTAGCAATTCAGGACAACATATATTAAACAGGAAAGGTCTCCTTTAAATAGTTAGGTATAGTATATAACAGGCCTAGCAGAGCTAGTAGTGATAGAACAGCAGGAAAAAAAAATTAAGAACTGATGGGTTTTTAGACCATTTTTGTTATCAGTAAATCATACTAGGAATTGATGTGGTACTAGAGGTTTTTCCTTGCAAAAATGACACATGTACACAGTTGCATTTATGATGACTCTTTCACAGTAGATGGTACAAAGGGGGAAAAGACAGTTTTTTGAGAGACGGTACGATATAAGTTTATCTTCTTAAAAAAACCAACCATTTTTAATAATAATGATATCTCTTTCAAACGTATACATATATTTATGTACATATATAGGATTCAAGAAAAATACACACGAAAAATCACTAGTGCCAACGTTTTTAAAAGTGTCACGAACCGATCGTGTCCTAGTAATTTGTGAATAGGAACTTATTAGCCGGTTTCATGACTTCGAATCTACATCTAGACATATGGCAATGAACACTTTGTTTAAATCGGTGATCCCACTAGGCATGGGATCCCCCGTCTCTGATATTACTGTTCAAAACAGCCTTATACTACTGCGCAGTTATGATAATTTTTTTTCGAAGAATTTAATGTCTTTTGCGCTGATGATTTGTAACGGAAATAAAATCACAGCACCAGGAGGGATGATAAAAAAGTGTTCAAAAATGATTTTGAGTCTTTCACAAAATTTCAAAAGATTTGCCTAACTAATTAAAGATAAATAGGAACTAAAAAGACAGTGTAGTCATGTGAAAGAATATTTTAATGGAAAGCAATTAAATTTTAAATTTCATCATATTTGTGTATAAAAATTTTGCATTGTATTTCAAAAATTCGCTGTCGTTTTTATGCTTACTATTATTTTGTATTACTTTCGTTTCTCAGTGTCTACTATGATATTGTCATATGTTGTTTTAAGTGTCTTTATCTAAGTCTAAAATGTTTTCAATTGCAAAATTTGGAAAATTCATAATCACATAAGATTATTTATTTATTTAAATAGTGTATGCTTAACGCATCAATTTTCAATAATTTATAAATATTTTGCGAAATCATTCCTGAGGATTATTTTATCTGATATTTCTATTATTAAAAATTTAGCAGATCTTTTGAATTTTCATATTATTTCTTATTACTTTACAAAATGGCTTTTCAACAAGTTTATTATGTAGGAAGGTTTGATAACGTTAAAAAAAGACTCTGAAACTCAGATATTATATCGCAGGAATTGTTAAAGAAATAAATACTATCATAATTCAAAGTTAATAAGATAATTTTTCCTTTTTACTATATAAATTATGTAAATAAATTTAATACTGGTTATATAGTGGGATAACAAATACACATTTATAATAAAAGACATTCAAATGAGCATAGCGTTTAAGATTAACATCATAAAATACATATAAACTAACGTTACACATTTAAAAATTACGTATGTACAATATAGAAATTTTCTTATGAGTGTTACCTTTACTGGAATTTTCTTTAAAATATTTAATATGTAACGTTAAGAAAACATATAGTTATATTTAATGCTGATTTACTTGACCCGATTCTCGATTTTTTATGATATTTATTGGTACTTATCATTCACATGTTTGAGAAGCATGTTGTTTTAAAATCCCTTTAAAGTATCAATTTTAGATTTGTTTTGCATGTGACTTTTTTCTTAAGGTGAGAAAATATAATGACAGCATATAGTGCTTAAGAAAGTATCGGAATATAAACTGTATTTTAATTTAATAAAGCAATTTTAAACTGATTTTTGCTCAAGAGAAGCAGATTCATGATCAGAAATTTTTATTTATGGAAATAGGTGAGATGTGATTTATATACAACTGAAACTAAAGGAGTTCTTATTCCTCATTCTCATATCATAATATAAGAAAGTCTTAAAAATTATCCATCTCGAAAGAGAATGAATGAATTCTAGACAAATTACATCCAAAATCTTTATTTCTATCTATTTTATAGCATTATCAAAGATTATTTTATTGTTTTTAAGACAAAATGTGCTTCATACATTATGTTGTAAATGCCAAGTTAGTTAACAACGATGCTAACAGCACCTATTATCTGTTACTGATATTTGAAACCATACAATATCAGAATAGTGTATTGTTATCTAGGAACTTCACGTGTTGGTCAACAGTTTAATGACCACACAATATCGGTTTCAGGGCCTATTATTAGAACTATGCTACAATGACTGATAACAAAAATTCTGAATACATATTACATTAGAATTTTGAAGATGCAAATATACTTTTTTCTTTTTTTCTGCTAGGCCATTTACAACTTTGCATCAATTATTAAAAAAAACAAGAAAAATCTAGGCATGTACAGGAATCTAAATGAATTTTAGAATCACCATTCATATATTTTTGTACATAGGAATCATACTGTTATGTGTTAAAAAATAAATTGAGCGATTTCATTAAAATTAAAACACATTTCACCTCGGTATGTTCAAAAAATCCTTTTCCATAGAAATCATTTTTAAACTGCAAAGACTATATATGTGTCCTCAACAGCATTACATAAAAATTTTAAATTTAATATTAATTCTTAGTAATATTTAAATGCTGTTGACATGCGATATTTCAGTAATTTATATAAGTAACATCTTCGATTACAATTGACTGAAAATATTTCTATTACGTATATTATATGTTACGTATTCCTATGGTATTAAGATTTTTGGACATGCCGGATAAATGCATTGAAGTATCGCACAAAATATTAGTATCTGGTTACAATAGAACAGTGAACTTATGCATATAAAAAGATATTTGTGATCAAACTGCTTTGGATCATTGTTTTAAATCATGTATCAGAATCGCTTTATATTTCAGTATTTGAAAGCAAATTACAAATCATATTTGCTTGAAGGTAAGTAAATCTTTTTAGCAAAATGTGTGTGTTTACGTAGTGTTTATATGTCTCAAGAAAATAATGACTCTGTATTTTTTATATAGGGTAATACGGTGAACTATTTCCAGAACCAAATTCGTATCTAGATATTGAAGTTATATCCACTGCAGTTTTGATCACAGATATATATTTTTCGTGTTATATACATGTTAAAAAAATCAGTACAGATGTAGCAAAAATCGAAATCTATATGTTACACAAAAAGTTATGCTCATTTAAAGTGACTTAGTTAAAAATTATAAAGCATGATGTGTTGTTACACAAACACGTAAACATCGAAAGAACGTAGTCAACATCACCAAAAGTTAACATTTGCTTAGTTGGTTATTTTACTTTGTGATGTATGTAAACACCAATTCGGTTAGGATACTCGAGCAGGAACGTTCGTGCCATAAGATCACAAACTTATAAACAAAATATCTTCTACAGGTTTTACAATTAAACATAATCTTAACACATCTGAAAGTAGCTTGAGCAGTTTGAGAATTACTTCAGAATAAATGGCGCAAACAAAGTGCCAGACTTCATTATCATTTTCAATGTACACTTTGCATACGCACATAAAAAAGGACAGTTCGTTCTATATCTCCCTTTTTACTGGGTCGATTGGCGAAATTTTAACTTGGTTTTGGGTCGATTGAAGAAATTTTAACTTGGTTTTGGGTCGATTGAAGAAATTTTAACTTGGTTTTTTCATAGCTCCAAAGCCTGACGTAGGACATGTATTAGATTTATGTGTAGTATATTTCTAACATAGGTATTTTGACACAAAATCGGACTTTTGCTGAAGTGACATATCGATTTTTTTTTTCCATTTTTTGATTCTAGGAGATAATTTATTCCAAAGTTTCGTAAAATACGCAAGAGTAGTTACTAAAATATTTGTTCTCAAAATGTTAGCTTCTCAATGTTAATTTAATTTGGTATATATATATTAATATCCCTGTTTAATAAACTTACTTGATTCCTTTTTTCACATTTCGAAGCTTAAATTCACTCCAAACGAAATTCGCTGTTATTTTCTGATTTGTTTTAAAAATTTGTATTTTTTAGTAATTTTTACAAATTTTTCGAACCAAAGTTTTGAATTATAGTCCATAAAACTTTTGACATTATCTTAAAGTAGATGTATTTTCAGGCACATTTGGCATATTTGTTATAACGCCAAATATGGTTTACGCACTTTGTTAAAACTATTTGAAAAAATTAGATGTATTTTTATTCGATTAATGTACAATGAAAGAGAAAGGAAATTTGATTACCATAAATTAAGAATTTCGCCAAGTAAATTAATTAATTAAATTCTTGAGGAAAACTGAAAACAGTGCTCCAAAATAAATTTGTAAATTTCTAGGTAAGTTTCTCACCAAATTTTACAACATTTAATATTTAGGCATAATTTGAATCGAAATATGGAATCGAAATATGGAAAAAACTGATATGCCATTCTAGGAAAATTCCGATTCTGTCAAAATATCTATATTTGAAAAATGGCTGTATGTAAATCTAATGTAGATCCCAAGTCGCGCTTTCGAGACATGAACCTGCAAGTTAAATTTCGTCTATCGGACCAGTAGAACAGGAGATACAGAGCTGTTCCCACCCCTATTTTTTTCCGTGCAAGGTGTACTACTTCTCTTTTTTTTCCTTTTACAATTAACTTTAAAGTTATTCCATTTTTAATGCAATAATGATATTTGTTCTCTTTCTCAAACTGCCGCGGCTTTAAGATCAGTTGTTATACTAAAATACCAAATCATTTCTATTTTTTTCATGAATGCTTTCATCATCATCATCAACTTATTTTCTGTATATAAAAACAAACTTTGCACCCAGACAAAATTTATCTTCTATTTTCTCCGACTCAGTACAAGGCTGAATTGTAGAATAATAACAAGACTTCAAGCATTATATTATATAGTACTATACACATTACTCTTGTAGTTATTTCTCGCAACCTCATCGGAGATCTTATAGTATTAGGAACTGGTTATACCACCCTCACTGGAGGATGGTTGCAGCAGATAAACATGCTGATTGGATGAGCGCACACCAATAAAAGTGTGGGTTTATAATTTTTATTTCTTTGCGAATAAAATGGCGTGCAGGTGAGATATATTTCTTTATCATTCAAAATAATAAATAACAAACACTAAAAATCTAAAATGTAAAATACTTTCATTCTAAGGTTGCCATCAGTATAAAATAACAATGTAGGATAACTTGACCATATTATTGATGTCTATTGATATTAACGTGAAAGTTTTGTAAACTGCACAAAAGTTGTCCTAGAGAAATGCGAAAGAAAAACGTAATATTTAAATCCGAAAAATATTAAAAAATCAAAAATGAGTTTACATCATTTTCTGCTGAAATATATCATGTTATTTTACGTCTAAAGAACTTTAATTTCAAATTCATACCATACTTATTTTATCCTCACCTCAGACTGACAAAAAAAATAAGACTGACTTTTATATTATAATATTCAAATACGTTAGATTAACGTACATATATTATGATAGGTTTAAAATTAATGTTAAAACTAATTTAGATTCTTTTATTTTAAGAGAAACTGAAGATAAGTAATTCGTTTTGTCATAGGATTTGGCAGTGAAGTCGCCTGCATGTGAAACCTTCGCAACTGCAAGCCTTCAGGATACATATTTTCGAAGTCAGTAATTAATTAAAGTATAATAAGCGAAATTTAACCATATTTAAAGATCTCAAAAGTTAGATATAGTTTAAAACTTAATAAAGCATTAAAATTCTAATTTGAAACTAGACTGAAAAGTGTTTTGGAGAATAGTTTATTTTTGGAATCTAAAAGAACTGTGATTAAAATTAATTTCAGATCTTTTAGACTTCCTAGAAGTAAAGAAGCTATAGAATTCTTTAATGGGTTATGGTTAAGTCTTAAAAGAAATTAAACGGTAAATAACCTTAACAAAGAAATTTCAAAAATACTAATAATAATAATAATTAACCGTGAGGTAAGGCCTAAGTATGGTTTTATCTTATTTGTCTATTCAAAATTTGATAAGGTAATTATAATTAACGTACTGAACCGAAACGTGTAACTTAACTACATAAAATTACTGTTTATATATGTAACAGAAACTTGTTTAAATGCTTTATCGTGCATAGAATTTCAGTTGCCGAAACAATTTTACGATTTAAAAACTTTAATTAATATCTTTGGTAAAAATCCATATCTAATGTTCTGTATTTGAATAGTCTTTACGCTTAGTGTCACAGTAAACACTACTGTTTAACGGTATAAACAGGAACTCAAAACCAGTTATGTAGTAAACCAGTTCAACAGTAAAAATATAGCTTCGACGCCGCTCAATAGAACGTACTATATTTTTCTCAATAAAAATCGTGAAATTTCACAAGGAACTGCGTTTAGTATTGAGAGTATGAAAAGCGTATTTGTTAAAATATTTTATACAGGTATATACTTTAATAGATCTGCATAAAGTTGTATCTTAAACAGTAAGTTTTCAACATAAAACAAAAAACTTTTTTTTATAATACAAATTTATACTAAATAGAAGCTACCTAAAACGTAGACATGAATCTTCGATTTTAAGCATTTTAGTATTTTTATTTATATTCTTAAGAGGTGAGTCCGAAATAATATCAAAAATCTATCGCAGTTCCCTATGGTTAATAATAAATAAGTGCTATTAAAAAGACAAATATTGCAATGCATAAAAATAAAAATGCATTATTATAATATTAAAATTACGACTGTGACTATATTTAACAGGAACTTGCATACTCTTAAAAATCTTTTCAGATTTTTTTATTGTTTCACTGAATGAGGGCAACCATTGAAGAGAATTAGAAATTATTCGTAATTTTGAATATATAGAAGAAAACATTCGCGGCTTTCCTAATAACAGAATTGAAAACTTTAACTGTAGATAAATATTTAAGAAACATATGGGCATTTAGCACGAAATAACCTAGTTTCAGCACGTCTGATGAAAATGCACTTGGAGAAAAATAAACTTAAATAATGTGAATCAATTGAACAATAAAGCTGAACAACACAGTTTAAACAAATTCACTGTGTCGTCAGAAAAACAGTGATTACAATTTTATAAATTCTTTAGGAACTTCACAAATGATAAAATCAACGAAGCATATATGCTTTTCTGACATTATCAAAGTCTTATATGCTTCTCGAGTTATAAAAACTAATTCTTAATGGTGAAGACGATGTTTCCAACTTGACATCAGAACTCTTTCTTTAACATTAACTCTTCGGTAGCTTCAACCGCTGATGATGATTTAGTGCGTTGTGTTCCGTTGAACATGGGACAAGACACATGTGCACACGTTACACCTGCACGCTCACGGATACGCACATTTACACATACGAACACTATTTTTTTCTTGTTTATTTCTTAATTTCAAAGGAGAACATCAAATAGAACGAGCTGCAAATAGAACCTCTTCGATGTAAAAAAAACACAGGAACTTTTAGCTTGACCACAGGTCAATGGTTGGACACAAGAAACGGCATTTATGTTTTTTTTTCTTCTTTTGTGCCTACTAAGTGATTATTTTTTTTTCTTCACAGGAACGCGTCGCGCTTTCAAATGCTGAGCACATCAAAAAAGTATTTTATTCCATAATAATGATTTAAGTTTTCAAAAGTTTCCAATCACTCTGGTTGCCTCCCCTTTTGTGAGAGTCAGTCCAGCTGCAACTTTAGAGGAACCTAGGAATACACGAATGATTTCGCACCATTGTATATGAATTAAATTTGTTTTATTCTATAGTAACCATGCGTTTGACTAAAGCTACCACTGTATTAACAAGCAACACACTTTTGAACTCATTTTGTGCAAGCTTCGTATAGAGGACGAAACCAAGAATAGAAGAAAAACATCTATAGAAAAAGCACAAATCTATGGAAGTATACCAATGAAAAAGCAAGTTCATATCGTGTATTGGTGACAGCACACTGTTGTAGTTATCTCCCTTTGGTGCCTACCACTAAAAAAATGAAACTAAGTCTTGATGCATACATCTCCCAGTTTTTATGGTAGTCATCAAGACCATCTAAAACTTATTCGTAACAAACTACTAACAATAAAATTATTCTCAAAGATAACTATTGCTGATCTCCAATGAAGACCGTGAATCTTCTAAATGATATATAACAAAAAGGCGTTAACATAGTCATAAACATTTGTATATATATATATTAAATAGAGCTGATAATATATTTGTATACTCAAGAAAACGTATGATTAAAAATGCCATTAATTGCATTCAAAATGGAAATTAAATTTCTTTTTTTTTTTTCCTTAACGAGTGTTTAAAGGGTGCCGCTGACGTTTATGACCAACCAAACATAAAAACCAACGGATATGTACAAAATAATAAACGAAAACTTTTCATGTAAATACAAGATATCATTTCTTCGTCGAACTTCTGCAGGCCAATAGGAAACGCGGCCCGAGTGACAGAGCAATGCATACACGCAGCTCTCAAATGCAGCTTTTAACAGTTTAGTGATCTGCAGCGAAAATTTTGGTCCACCACATTATTTCACATTTTGCTTGAGCCACTTCTCAGTTCTAGGAACTCTTGATATCTGCCGAGGACAGAGCAGGCAGTTTTAGGCAGCCAAGGGGGTATGGTGATTACACTGCATTTATCTATTTGTTTCAGGGACTCAGTCACAACCTCACCCTCTTGGCTCGGGCTCGGCTATTTGAAGTTTAAAACAGACAAATGAACCACCAAAGTTTAAAAACGTGACAATATCCTTATTGTCTTACACAACAGTTACATGGAACATCAGAACAGATTTATAATCATTATAATAGGAATAGATTCACTGGAAATCTTAGGAATATTCTAACCATTTTGGGTGATTATTTCTATAGTCTGGCTATTATTAGAGCCGCTTGGTTTCTGGACTAAGAGAAGCTTCTCCTGTAAAACAAAGGCCGGCCTTGCTGGAAGCGGGAAGGTCTAAGGAAGAAGCTTCGAGACCGAGCCTGAGGGCACTATCGAGGTCATTACGGAAGTCGGACGAAAACATAAGGTGCTGAGCTGTGACGTCTGGTCCATTACGGGTCGTGACATCGTTTCCTGTTTGGGGCAGAAGCAGAGGAGGAGGTGCCAGGCGTGGTGGTGTCATGGAAGGAGCCACAGGAGTAGCTGCGAAGTGGGAGGATGTGGAGCAAGAGGGCATTTTGGGGGGCACTATGGAATTAGGCGGAACCATCGCATTGGGTGGTAGCATTGAATTAGGTGGCGTCATTTGCTCATTTCTTTGCAACTTATGCACCCTCTTGACATGCCGATCTGCGTTGCAGTGGAACTTGAAGTCAAGCAGTGTCGGAAATCTCTCCCGACAAGCTCTGCATTCTAACTGCACCTGCACTAAGCGAAGAATCGCTTTACTAGCATCGCCTGCGTTTTTATTGGCGAAGCAGCTGGAACGTTGGTGATTGACGCACAGAACTTCAGCTGGATGAACTAGCTGACACTTCTTGCACACATAGCCAACGTCGACTTCAGCCTCTGCAGCCTGTTGATAATCGTTTCCTGACACTACACCTTTCAGATCCTCCAACGTTTTTCCGTCTTGGGAAAACCGAGCAGTGGTGTTTCCTGGCTGAGTTAATTTCTGGGTAATTTCGGGCAAAGCTGTAGGTGGAAGTTGGAGCAAAGATAATGGTGTGCTATACATATTGGAATCATAGAACATACCTCCTGGTGGCGAACCTGTTAAAGATACAAAATATCAGGATAAGTGACTTGAAATTTAATATAGTAGATTTTAGTCCTCAAACATTATTGCTTTATATAATATATATATATAATTAAAGAAAAGAGAACAAACTATTTGTAAATATTCAACTTTTTATATTGTTTAGTTAATCTGTTAATCTTTTATATTTACACCTTTCATTGCACTTTATTTTACTTATGTTAATATTGTCAACGGAACCACAGCAACGTTTTGGCGTACGAACTAGGAATTTTCTATTAACTTATATATATATTTCTTTTAAACGCAAAATACATTTTATGTCAAATAACAGGACTAAAAATTAGTACTGGAGTTAATAAAGGTACCATAATTTCAACTTGAAAGGTATCTTTGTTTCTTCATAACTTAAATATATCTGTAATTTTTATTACACTACAAATGGCAAAACGTTTTGTACGAAAGGCATTTCTTTTATCTAAGCTAGTATCTCTACTTTGATGAGGATATTTAAAATTATTTGGATAATTTATTATAACGGTAATACACTCGGCGCGTATTCGAGAGGTCCAGATTCGAGTCGTTGCGAGAGCATTGCACATTTTTCAAAACTCCTACTTCAAAATAACCTGATGAATGTATAAATTATATATTGTACCCAAACATGTATTCAAAGGAAAGACCTCATAAGCATGCATGAATGGTAATCATAATTATCAGAATACAAGAATGATTTAGCCGTCTGTCAGTTTTCTTTTTGCTAGTACTGTACATAACCTAAGAGTCATAATTCATAATATTTAGATGCTAAAATATTATAATTCACTAACATTATGGGTCTTCATCTTAATGAAAATAGAATAAAACAACCCGTGATTTTGAAGCCTAAATTCCAAGGCGATAGTAAGGTTGAAGATCTAAGAGGATCAAAGGCCAAAAGTGTTAGATGGAATGTTACCACAGGAGGGGCAACCTGAAAGCCATATCCAGTTCCGAATACTTTGCTCTTCAGCTCCTGCCAAACACGTATGTGTGCCTTGGAATCTTAAGCTGATAGATTTTGTGATGAAGTAAAAATTCTCCCTTTTTTTTTTTTAGAGGAAGGGGGATAGGAAGAAACTTACCGGTACTAGAATTTACTCAGTAACAAATCTTAATCCGGTTATGGCCGCTACAACGTACTTAAGAGACAACTTATTAACGATCCTGAAAGCTCAAAACCACAAAATGACAGACAGAGGAATGAATAAAAACATGTTCCCTTCCCATGTTCGACATTCCCACCTCAGGGCATATACGATCACCGCTGATGGAAATAAACGACACGAAACTGTTGACACATCTATAAATCATCATCTTAAAACCGAGCGAAGCAAAAGTTCGAGAAGGTAAGAAAAAAACATTTCGAATCTCGAATATTTATAACTGATATTCGTGTTTTGTGTGTCAACTAGGCACGAGATCTCTCTAAATCGTTGCCGCTGATAGAAAAAGGGAGGGGATGGTTCAAACAAAGCATTAATTAAAATCCACATAACTCGATCTCGGAGACAGACTAGTGGCTTATTGTCAAAATGGTCATGATGGTTTTCTTTGTCTTTTTAATTTTTTTTTAATTCTTCCTTGCACCTACACTTCTTTTAGCGGGGCTCTATGAGCTTGTGCTCATAACGTGTGCAGAATTCCTGAGAACTTGTTTATTTGATTCTTTCCTTCTTCACCTTTGTGACCTCATTCTATGGAGTAGACGGCACCTTTCCATAAATCACTGTCTCTAAAAGTTTTTGACCTCAACAAAAAGACCTGATCATAATTTAATACTATTTGTTTCCAGTGAACATCGTATTCAGTAGTACTCTTAATTGCTTTGAATTTTAATGAATACACATTTTTTATCTTTAAATCGTAACTGTAGTCGTTATGTATAGTGGATTAAAATAAAACTGCTGTTAAAAATTACGCTGGTATCCGTATAAGACAAAAACGATGTCTATTTCGTAGATCTGGCGTCGATTTATGTATTGAGTTTAGAAAAAAAAATTGACAGTAGGCTCTCGCTTTTATTTCAAAGAGACTTTGGTGCTTAATGGGTATAATTACTAACAAGCGCGTGAGAATGTTATAGAATAAATAAAACTAAAGAGGATTCTGCACACACGTATATTTTATTTGATTTTATTTTTGATTTATTACATGTATTCGTTCATAAGTAAAATTGGCCGATGATATCAGAAATAAGATTCACAATTGAAGATGTCTGCAGTTATATTCCTAGTGAATATTAAGTCTATAAATGAACATAGTTACTTGGCCTCATATTGAGATTAAAATTATGTATCATAAAACCAAACCTTTTCATTTCGTTTGACGTCTACATTGAAATCTCCCATCATAATAATAAGAACATCTGTATTTACATTAACTCTTCGTCGATTAACAATATAGTCTCAGAGTATTTCATCACTGCACTAAACAAGAACATCTTCAAATTCCCTAAATTAACAGTTCGACGAATATATATGGATGTTATAATAATCTTGACTGTCGGTTAACAATTACATCAACCATACAAATATCGCCTGCTTCTGAATTCTGTATTTTCTTACCTTGCTTAATAGTAAATTCTATGGGTAACAATCTATTACACTCGCTAAATTTCTCTAAGTCTCAACACCACTAGTTTGGCGAAATAAAATAAAATACAGCGAACACCACCGGAACACACTGATTGTCTACCAAACGGCCTTGCCGCTCAAACGCGGTCGCCCATGCACTCGGAGCTTCTCCAAAATTTCACTATTTTTAACGCATTACTATGCGTATACCCTGTGTCTAATTTTTAAATTTTTTGTGTGTTTCTTAATATGCTCTTTCATCTATCTAATGATGTACATTAATTGTAACTTTTGTAGTTTTGAAGATATAAGCATTGGCGCACGCCTCAAAAAGTGCCTTCAGTTTTGCTTTCCATCGGACCATTATGGAGGAACGTAATCCTACGGAGAGGGAAAAAAATCTGAACATCGTAAAACATTTTTGCCATGAAATGAAATTTACAATCTGATTAAAATTTTTAATTTTACTTTTTAAAATCTAAACTTTAAAAATTAATTTTTACTTTTAAAGTAAAATTAAACTCAAGGTTTAATTTTATTTTCTTAAATCAGCATACATGTGCACTGGAGTGCGCTAGGGAAGGATGAAAATTAACTTAAGGTTTAACAAAAGTGTCGCTTGTTTTCAGTTGCAACTATGCTGCAGCTCAACAGGTATGAAAGATTTATTCAAAGTACACAAAAAGAAAAATTGATTTCTTTTTCAACCTGAATATAAAACTGATGTAAAATTTCTTGTCGATATATATTCGTATGTCGATGTTTCTGGCAATGAGTAGGCCGACGTCCTCGCCAAAGAAGCCCGAAATGGTACTCAACTTTCCAACAGATTAACCTTGACGATGCAGATGCTATAGCCAGCCGAAGACTCTTCTCCCAACAAGTTAAGAAAAATTCCATTCCCTAGCTAAACTGTAGCCGAATTATTTCATCTACCGTAGTCAGACTGAGAACAAAACACTTTAAAGGAATAAAGACATCCCCTGATGGTCAGCAAAGTTATAATTGCTACCCTCACTGTTCTGACGCGCAACTTTCTCCAGTACACATCTTTGACTGTCCTGCCATACTGGCCAGACCCTTCAGAACTGATTTTGTCTCCCAAAGTGCCTGCTTCTATACTCCTCGAGGATCGTCGACGTCATTAGGGTTGTATTGGTTACTTTTGGCCCTATTTGACCTTTCTGCACTAAATTTCGGACAAGAAAACAACATTTTAACAAGAACATAAGTACTCTTTCAGAATTTCCTCTCTAGTACCAACCATAAGATTTAATTTTTTATTCCTCTTTTCATTTTTTGAAACAGCTGATCAAAGTAAGGATATATTTTAAGTAGAGCTTAAATACTGATAAATATCAAGACAAACAGTGTATAAATATCAACAAATTTTTAGAGGTTTTAAATCTTAATTTTAAAGTTTCGCCATCAGTCAAGAAGTTTTTATTTCCTTTATGGTAGTAAAATTAATATAAAATGCGCAATTAATTAAATGATATGTATTGCCATATTCAAGGGACTAGTGTATATAATATTTAATTAATGTTTTGCTCAGACTAGAAATTTTGCTCAAGGTGCACGAATCTAGAAGGATGCATCCGCAATTGCTGCTCTGTTTGATAAATTAGAAGGTCTTCGACATTCCTTGCAGAAATTATGTTAATGATTTATTTGTATACGTTGATTACTACACTTGCAATCAAAAAATTTATAGTTATCAATGAAACCCAATGTACCTTTTCTTTCAGTTTTATACTTTAACCACGTTAAAACTTCATTAGATAATACTGTCACTTTAAGTATGTACTCAGTAATTTTAATTTAATAATTTCCAATTTTTCCAATTATTTATTATATTATTAATATCTGCAAATAACTCAATAATATATATATGTGTGTGTGTGTGTGTGTGTGTGTGTGTGTGTGCGTTTTCAAAAAATGGCATCATATATTTACTTCGGCTACTGCCATCTAAGTCAAACTTACTGGAAGCATTAAATCAAGTTCTAAGACCAAAAATAAGAGTCAGCCGATAGGAATTCTAAACAAAAAATAAGCAAAAATTTATCTTTCCGGAAGAAAAAAAAATTGTGCACAATTTAAGGGGTCGGCTTAACGATACTTTTATCACAGCATGGATCCCTCTCTCCCTCTCTCCTCCCTCTAAACTCCAAGATGCAATAACCAACAGCTTACCGCTTAAAAAAAAGCAGGTTAACCTTAAATGATTGATTAGAAGAAGATAGTTTCGGTGGATGGGGGAATGTTTTGGGACCCTAAATTGCCAGATCGAAAATTTAATAAGAATCCGAAAAGCCATTAGAACTAGTACTCGGTTTTTCAAAAGGTACCACATCTCAGGTGGCTGTG